TACCAATTCACCGTCCCCGGAGGGTAGAAGGCTTGGTTGGCCTGGGCGGGAGTCGACCCGGGATTCGAACCCGGGACCGCGCGAATGGTGAGCGCCCCACTTGTCACTACACCATCTCCGCCTCATCTTCAGTAGTACTGGATCCTAACTCTTTTTGCGCATCTTCAAGGTAGAAGAGACCAGTCAAGAAAATAAAAAAACCCATTGGCATTAAAAAGTTCTAAACAAGGACTGGACAAACCATAGTGATGAGCTCGCTGCTTACAGTTGGCAGTGGCTCGTACATGGGTCCTCCACCACCGCCTCCTGTAAGACATCCATCGACTTCGTTATCTCTTCGAGGAAGTCAAAGTCTCTACGGATTCAACGGTAATCTATCGTAGTCTTGCTTCTATGCTCCTGCTGCTTCTCACTTCTTGAATTATCAGCACTAAAACTTTTCCTTTGGCACGATGCATGATACGAAAGGCATGACTATTCATTGGGTTCGGAAGATTTTCCTCTTTTCATCCCAGGATTGAGCTACAAGCTGCTGATTTATCAGGCACCCTTTCCCCTGACGTTTTGTGCACTGTGCCGTGAATAACATATCTCCTTTGTCCTTTTTTGCATGCCAGTGACGTGAGCTCATCAATAATTTTCCATTTTACTGTCGTACCTTCAGGAGGGAATGAGGAATATTACTCCCCTGGACAGCTACATTCCAATTATGGCGAAACTCGTTGCGCTTCAGTGAAGCAAAGGCATGGTGGGGGTCGAAGAATCTCAGCGGCAGAATTGGAGAACTTAATGAGTCGGCAAGGAGATCGACACACTTATCAGGCGATCCCTTATGATCAGGTAAGTGAAGCTGGAGACGGCATGGTGAATGTAGCGCTATAGCCGTAAGGTTTCCAAAAATTCTGTGTCAGGACTCGACTGGCTCGCAGACTCCCAAGAAGTACAACTCCGTTTCGGATATGAAGAGGAGGAAGCAGCGAGCGGCGCCGTCGCCACAAGGTCTTCAGAGGTCCTATGATTACCAGGTTTGTCAGCAATTACCATTGTCGTTCACTGAAAGGGAGTGGGGATTCAAGGCAGCCTCTGCGGATTTTTGCGTTTGCCGAGTGGGGGAGAATGGGTGTGCGGCCGCAGTAGCGTGCCTTTTTCTCCGCTTAAAAGTGCACGGGAACGAGGTTGGGGGGTAGAGAAACCCGGGTGCCACCTCAGGCTTCTGCCCGCGCTCACCACGGCCAGCCACACGCGTAACCATGGGTAAACGTGCTGCTTGTCTGCGCCCTCTCACTTCTGGTTGCTGTCTGCCTCTGACTGCGTGTTCGCTGCGGGAATTTGTATCGAAACAAGCGTTGCACTTTGAGGATAGCGTGGGCGGGCGGGGTCGGGCGACAGCACTCGGGCATCACTACCCTCCCAGGCCCACTCTCGAGTGGTGAAAGTGATACGCTACTGTAGCTATTCACCTCGTACATGGGAAGGACCATCCTTGGAGGCGACTGTACAGTTCGCCCTTGAAAAGCTTTAAAAAAGGTGAAGCTCTCAAGGACGAACATGATATGGGACAACCGGCATGTTTAAGGCGCAGTTTTTACCGCTGATAGTACGGGCAGTGGCAGCAGACCACCTCATTGGCGCACTGCTCCTTTTAATTGGCGTGGAAGGATGATCCATGTTCGACTTTCTTGCAACTGATATGATATTCGATTGTAGTTTCTCTTACGAGCCTCGACAAGATTTTGAAAGCTTTATTAGCGCCAACGTCTTTCGGCGTCGCCTTCGTCAGAGCCTGAAATGGACAAAAAACACATGAGACCTGCCCGCTGAAACGCCTCAACAATTCTCAAGACAATTTCACTAAACTAGTAAAACGACCCAACGGTATCGATCGATAGTGTTGTGGCTCACCTTGATCTAGACGCCGCAGTGCGGGCTCGACCACCCTGAGGTTGACTTGAATGCGGATTAACCATTACCAGTTACACCCTCCGACCTCACGGTAGATCAAAACTTACAGAGGTCGAGGAAAGGCGCGAGTTCGCGGGTCACAGCCACACACTCCTCCTTTCTATTCATTTTAGGGTCCTTGGCAGTGATCCAAAATGCCTCCAATGTCTTACGCGCCGTGATCTCGGGCTCCTGCGCTAAGATGACCACCGACACGTCAAATGACGTGCCTCCATGGTGTTCAACTCGATGAGCTCCGAGTGGAGTCTGGACCCTAGATCTACTGAGCCCCTCCAGATGTTCTTTAACCCGCACACGAAGGGGGCGCCCTGTTTCACCTATGTACTCACTGCCACAATTCTGGCAGTGTATCGAGTAGATGACTGCCGACTTCATGCAGTCGCCCGGTCTGCCGAAGGGACATACAACACAATCCGGGTCCGGGGTGTCGCATAAGGTGTCATATAGCCGGTTGCGAATAAGGTGACGTTTTAAGTTACAGGGGGGTATTTCCACAATACTAATATCGTCCTGGAGATCACATCGTTTCAGTTGTGATCGAATCGTCCTGCTCACCTGTTCAGAAATATAGGGCAGGCAAAAAAGGACTTTATTGGCCGGTGTTGTTCTAGAAGTGCCGCGATACGTGGAATACCCCCGTCGAGTCCTCTCAGAGCAAGGATATCCATTGGATAACGCGATAGTCTGGGCTCTGTTCGACGACTCTTTTCTTAACTCGCTATCTGATGAGAACTCATGATAGGCATCTGAGTTTTTAGCAAACTCTTGCTATCTGAGTTTGCTAAAACTAAGAAAGCTGTCGTCCAAAACATGTTCAGGATAGCCCATAAGGTCTCATCAGATAGCGAGTTAAGAAAAGAGTCGTCGAACAGAGCCCAGACTATCGCGTTATCCAATGGATATCCTTGCTCTGAGAGGACTCGACGGGGGTATTCCACGTATCGCGGCACTTCTAGAACAACACCGGCCAATAAAGTCCTTTTTTGCCTGCCCTATATTTCTGAACAGGTGAGCAGGACGATTCGATCACAACTGAAACGATGTGATCTCCAGGACGATATTAGTATTGTGGAAATACCCCCCTGTAACTTAAAACGTCACCTTATTCGCAACCGGCTATATGACACCTTATGCGACACCCCGGATTGTGTTGTATGTCCCTTCGGCAGACCGGGCGACTGCATGAAGTCGGCAGTCATCTACTCGATACACTGCCAGAATTGTGGCAGTGAGTACATAGGTGAAACAGGGCGCCCCCTTCGTGTGCTTGCCGCGCATTAAAGAAAACATCTAGAAGAGGCGGCTTCAGTAGATCTAGGGTTCCACATTCCACTCGGGAGCTCATCGAGTTGAACACCATGGAGGCACGTCATTTGACGTGTCGGTGGTCATCTTAGCGCAGGAGCCCGAGATCACGGCGCGTAAGACATTGGAGGCATTTTGGATCACTGCCAAGGACCCTAAAATGAATAGAAAGGAGGAGTGTGTGGCTGTGACCCGCGAACTCGCGCCTTTCCTCGACCTCTGTAAGTTTTGATCTACCGTGAGGTCGGAGGGTGTAACTGGTAATGGTTAATCCGCATTCAAGTCAACCTCAGGGTGGTCGAGCTATGCTGAGCCCGCACCTGCGGCGTCTAGATCAAGGTGAGCCACAACACTATCGATCGATACCGTTGGGTCGTTTTACTAGTTTAGTGAAATTGTCTTGAGAATTGTTGAGGCGTTTCAGCGCGGGCAGGTCTCATGTGTTTTTTGTCCATTTCAGGCTCTGACGAAGGCGAAGACGCCGAAACGTTGGCCTAATAAAGCATTTCAATCTTGTCGAGGCTCGAGGACAAACTACATCGCTGGAAAGATGGTTGCCCACCAAGGGGGGGGGGATCCTCTGCTTTCCTGCCCAAGCCTGTTACGGAATAAATTGCTCATCCTTGCTTAGCTGGCAGCGCAGCCATATGTACTTTTGTTTTACCCTACTACCTCGCCCTTAGTTACCCTGGGCGAACTTACGCGTACACGAACCCTTCGTCATAACTCTGATGTCGTAACGACATCGTGATTGCGATCTCCCACACCAATCAGGCATAGTTTATAAACATCGTTTCCGGGGCAGCGACTTATATACTTCCCCACAACTTGACAAGAGATGAAATGTACTGGAACATCTTGATATCCGAGTTTGCAGAACAATCAGCCGATGAACTCCATTTACGGTTCTCCTATGAAGACGTATTCGAGCTCACCGGATATCCCTCACATGAATTCCTTCGAATTAGCTGAGGACGACAGTTCATCTACCACGTCGCAGAATGACGATCGACTTGGATACTTGCAGCATTCTCAGAGTGGCGGTTACTTCCAGTCAGGTGGGTGAATACAGCAGGCCATTTCGGCCAGCTTTCCGACCGAAAACCCCTCCACCACCACCGCCTCCACCCCAGTCGTCCTTACCACAAACCCCTAACTCACAGAGGTTAGTTGTAATTATGAAGTCTCCCTTCTTTGAGGGATACTATTTATCATATTCAGGTTACCATCGTCGCCATATGGTAGTAACCATGTGAAGCAGAACAGTTCCAATGGGTCAGCCACGACTCACATTGTGGTCCCTACTCCTAATGACTCTGGTGATACTCCGTCTCCACCTCCGCTTCCGCAGAGTTCGCCTCCTTCAAGTAATACTACGCCTCTCAGCGGCTAACAGTTGAAATTAATTGAGGTTTTCACTTATTTCAGGCTCTAAGTCAAGCATCGTACCGCCTCCTCCCCCACCTCCACCTCCCAATTTACTGAAACTCCCTGCAGCGTCGTCAAGCACATCCGTAGGATCTGCAAAGGCTGGTATATCGGTGGAGGCGCTTCGCTCAGTGGCGCTGAAAAAGGCAGAGGTGAGTGACAACCGCTTCTCTGGAACTTTATTAGGGCGCAGTTCTTTTCTGGAACTTTATTAGGGCGCAGTTCGGCGATGGGGGGGGCATCTTGCATTTTCGGTGAATCCTGTGAACTCTTGTGAAGCTGGAGCAAGCTCGGCGAGCCACCGTGGCAGAACCTATCACTGTATGCTCATGAAATGGCTCTCTAGATGGGTCGACACGTCAATGGGAAGTCAAAAGTACAGAATACCCTGCCCCCGCCGCCAGACTGCTCCCTTTATTAGTACTTCCCGAGCTGAAAATAATTTCTGACGTACCGGCTCCCATGTGGGAGGAGAATGTTTCGTGAATCGTTTTGGTATTTCAGCCTGAAGAGAAGAAAACGCAAATACCGGTTGGCATGACAACTAGCGGATCAGCTGATTTCCAAGCCGATTTGAGGAATGCGTTGGCGAAGCGAAGAAGTAAAGTGGCCCAGGAGCAGGACGATGAGGACAAAAGCGATGTGGATGGGTGAGTGAAGGCTTAGTTTGCGAGAGAGTCCGATGAATCCCTTCGTAACCACTTTTTCCCTTAGTCGGTTTGGCGGCTTGTCTCTTCGCGAGACAGTGAGAGAAAACGTTCAAACGAAGGACGTCAAGCAGCATTCACCACCAGGAATAGCCAACAAAAAAGACAGCGGGTTTGTTGAAGCGATATTTCGAACTCTCTGGGTTCAGCAATTATTTTGATGCTGACAAGTACCTATTTATTTATCAATTTTTAGATATACATCATCAAGAACCTCACTGGAGCCATCGGAATACGGTGAGGAGCGTGGTTTGGACGCAAATTCGAATCGGCCGCATTTTACCGTCGATGGTTCTTCTTCGCGACATAACGTAGCCCTCATCAGCCAGAACATTGAGGACAGCTACGGAGCCCGAAAGAACATCGATAACGTGAGTGCTTGGCTAGTTCCTCCCCTTGCCTCTCCTGACCATCGCTTGGTTTCTGGTCAATTCTCCTGCCAGACTGGCGCTGCTGTCCTTCAGTCTCTACCTCTTTCCGTTTCGGTTGCTTTGGGTTTGCATGTGTGCTGGTCGTTTAGATGTCAGTGTCATCTACGCTGAGTACGCTGTCGGGCTGCTCCTCCGAATCTCGTCCTACTCCTTCGCTTCCGGTTGTACCTCCGGTCGACTACGACGATCCTGATTCTGGTACCGGTGGCTCTGATAGTGATATGCAAAGTAAGGCAAAATTAGAGTGCTTTCTGTGAATGTGTCTTCCCTTGCTTCGTTCGTTTCCGGACTTTATCTATGCCCTCCTTCCCTCCTCATCCCAAATTATTGATAACTCCCTCTCTAAAATCTCCGTAGCAACCTTCGTTGTTAGTCGATGCTTTATTTTCTAATTACAGATGCGGAAAGTGGGTCATTTGAAAGGAAAGTACTACTGAAATGGACGTGTGCTGATGCCCTTCAGTGGCTGATTTCGCTTGGGTAAGTTATGAGTACAGTAGGATTCAGCAACTGGTCTATCGATGTTGGGGTAGCCTGTCCGGGCGAATCATAACGGGAGATCACAAGCGAGGGTACAGGGATGCTATTTGACTCGCTTCGTGAAGGAGGTGATATTTATTGGTGGAAGAGATTGCACTGATGTGTAACTGTGCGGAAATTTTGAGAAAGAATTCCTTTGAGTACAACCCTCTCCCTCCCTTCCTCCCCCTTCAGAAGTGCAGAGCAATAGGTGAGGAGGTAGATGAAAGTAGTCAGTGATCTTCTTCACCAGCTCAGCTGATGGATGGTGGTGGAAAATAGCTTGTGGACCAAAACAACGTTGTCCTTCAGACCAAATACGACCGCCCGCCCCCCCTCTCCCAGCGGACCAAGTAGCGCCGCAAGTCCCCAACAACGATATGCTCCGTGGCCAATAGTAGCCGTTCGGAGAGCTTAACGATGGTTCAAGCTTCTCACAGCCTCACGATTCTCAAATCGCGCGAATAAACCACCCAAGTCGCAAACTATGGCCGCAGCCATTCCATTATCGTGTGGGATTTTTATTATTAAGTCATCATGGACGCACTGAGCCAGACGGACTTTAAACGAATTCTCATTCAATTTCAATTTCAGGGCTCGACGAGTATTTGGCCGCATTTCAAGCGCGTCGCGTCGATGGAAGAGCGCTTCTGAATTGCGATCGTGCTGCTTTCACGCAGTTGGGTGTCACTCGAATCGCTCATCGTCAGAAAATGGAGGCATCACTTCGACGGTACATGGGCAGCATGTGATGTCCTGTCGGCTCGCATTATTGCATTCATTAATGTTCGTGTTGTACATGTGTTTCTTACTGTAGACATTTTATTGCTGGACCAAGAGAAAAAGGGTTGTTGAAGAGTTCACAGGGTTGCCGTTCGGTTTCCTCGAGACTGAAAGGTCTCATTTATCAAGAGATCTATTAAAAATGTAATTTAATGCCTTTATCCTCAACGGACAACCAAACGACACCTTTGGATCGAGTATAGTGGCGCGTAGTTAATTCTCTCTTCCGCTTAATTAATTGTATCAGTAGAGAAGTCGAATTCCGCTGTGATTCCCGTGCCTGTTATCTGCTCATGCTTCATTATTTTTTTCTTATTAATTTGTTCGAATTACTCGAATGATGGTTCAGATTTTCTTTTTTTCCGAATTTCTTTGAAAGTTCTTTAGATATTTTTCCTCATTCGCTGAACTCAGTCTTCGGTGCGCCCTTCCTTGCATATTTAG